TCTAAAAAATTTTTTACTGAGTTTCAAAGCTAATTAAATATAAATTTCTACATTTTTATACATTAAAGCAGTATTTGTTGGCTTTAATTTTTGATGGTTTAAAAAAAATCATAATAATGAATAATGAATTACAATCTAAAGAGAATCATCATTGAGAATAATAAGTATAAAATCCTAAAAATAGATTTTGTTAATAAAATTTGACCTGTATGTGTTATTGTGAGATTCACCCGAATATGATGGTGAAAAGACTCCTATACACCGAATTTATGGAGACACTAATAATAATAATATTAAAATGAATAACACATATGAACTAGATAAACATGTGCAAACTCCTGCACTCATCAAAGTAAACGTGACGATTGTATTTAATGCAGTAGTGTTGAACAGTGCTTTCACATTGACACGCGGTGAAATCCACCTTCCTTGCGTTCAGTTTACCAGTTGAATTCAAATTAGATATAATATTTGGTATTAACAAAACATAAATCACAATTAAAAACCTCTAAATTCAAGCCTAGAGGCAGAACGATACAATCGTGGCCATGATTCACGTACGGATGCTGATGCACAACACGTTCTCATGCTAATATGCCTTCCTTCCTCAAGAACGCTTATATTAAATATTATAGTCATTCAAATATAATGAGGTTAAAGTATGATTTAAAATAAATGGCTAAATATTAAAAGTGTTAATTATCGCATGCTTAAGAGCTTATATGAAGTTTCTTTTTTCATTGGTCCACACGTCAATGGAAAACTAAAACGAACATTTGTTTTTAATTCATTGTCAAGAGCTCATAAATGTACCAAATAATAATTAATAACCATGTGACTGTGACTGCAGGCCGTAAACACTGCAGACGATGAGGAAAAACCAAGGAAAAACATTTGGTCCAACCCAATCTTCAATATTTGGTTTCGTTTGTGGTTTAAAGGATTCAGTATTGCTAAAGCTAATGTTTTTCTAACTATAAAAAACAAAAAGCTGGAAAACAAACGAACCGAAGCCAAGTGGGATGTGACACGCGTTCGACTCGTTGCATATTGTTCGTCCAGTGTCAGAACACATGATATGCTTCATCAGTAACGGCATCGCTTTAAACACCTGCCAATCACCCCATCCAGCCAATCAAGAGTGCTTGGGTGGGGCCTGAGACTCCGCCTTCTTCATCCACACACAGGAAATGAAGGCAATGACAGGACAGAACACATCAGGTTATTATTATTATAATGATTTTCTTCTGTTAGGCCAGCTAACACTAACGAGTTCAGTCAGTTTTGGAAGCGCGGCAGACGTGAAGATAAAGATCGAGAGAGTCTGGAAAATTCAGTGCAAGACATAATGGCTACTTAAAAAATCAGTAATAATCATCATTATTCGTTTCTGGATATCCAATACTGGACGACAGCAGTAAAGACGAGTTAAACCGCCTCCAGTGAATCTCTGAAACCTCCGCAGTGCAAAACCAGAACCAGAAGCCGGAGAGGGCTGGTCGGTCCGCTTTGATCTCCTCTGGTCTGGCGGTGGTCTCTCTAGCTCCCGGGGTCTGAGCCGTGTTTCTGTGGCGTCTGTGAGCTCAGTGACGTGTGCGCCTCCTGCAGGGAGAAGCGCCGGTGGATGTCGGGGTCGGGCACAAGCTCCAGTCGGGCCCCGAGGCTGGAGAATCCCGCGCGAGGAACGACGCTGACCGCAGGATGGAGCTCCGTGGAGCTGCTGAGAAACTCGCAGGACTGGAGAAGAAAACAGAGCAGAGATCCTGCCGCTGTCACACTGTTTGCACTTATTAGAGTAGTTTTAATACATTAGCACCAGAACTACAGTAGCTACTATTATTTGCTCAGCCAAAACAAAGATACAATAAAATCAATATATTATATACATATATATATACACACTGCACACACACACACACTGGTATAAAAATTATATATATATATATAT